AATGAACACCAGCTAACAGCGCGAAAAATTAACACATAAATACATTTGAAACATTGTTCTGCGTCTGCATTTGATCTCTAGCATTTAAAAACCCAGTTTCTGGGAGTTTAGGTCGTCACCAAGACGTGAAAATGTGTGTCGACCAAAACGGGGTCACCGGCGCTGAGCTTATGCAACCGCCGGAGCTGCTTATGGAAGTTTCCCCTCAAAACACAAACACAAACCCGCCACACACTCGCCTTACCTCGCGCTGGCTCACGGGGGGTGCTGTTTATGTCAAGCCCAAGGAAAAGAGCATTTCGTCCCAGGGTTCGGAGGAGTGGGGACGAGTTGTGTGCAGCGGTAAGTGACAGCGGCTACTGCCCCAGAATCCCTTTTGTGTCCCTGGACGAGCTGTACCCTGCCGGCTGCACTACTTTGTTTCATAACAGATTTGCTCACTGCGCATGCTCCGCCTCGTTTTCCAGATCACACGCTGCATTCAATGTCCGTGAATCGGACACGAACACCTACATCTCATTAGTGGCCAAACCACACGTTTGAATCACACAATTTTTTCGTTTAGGAGATAAAAATGAACAATGACTTGGTCGTATTCTGTGTAATGAAATACCCCCCCAAAAAACCGATATGGGACTTTCTTTACAAATCCAACATTTCAAGTTGCGTTTATTTTGGTACAGGAACAGCTGCAGTAATAACAGAAACGGATGTTGGAACATAGTTAAAAAACAAAAAACAAATCAGCTTTTTTTCCCGCATTGACAATGAGCCAATGGAATCCGGAAGACTAAATTTCGAACTCATATCTGCTCTTTCTTATGGTCATGAATGTAACATCAGCTGTTTTCAAGCATTGGCCGCCCTCATTGGTCGGTTCTCGGTCACATGAGTCTCGCAGGTCACGTTTAAGAAGCGTGGAAATGCGGAAGCTCGGCTCCGCAGATTTAAAGAGTAGTAGCATGTTTATTGAGGTACAAGCAATAACGATAAAAACACATTGACAGTTTATGCTTTACAGAATGTTGCAAACCGAATATTTATTTTTATATAATGGCAGGGCTACTTTAGCTCCAGACATTACAAGAGGTTTGTTTATTCTCTGTAAACCCGAGTAAACAATTAGCTTAACCCTTGTATGGTATTTGGGTCAAATTGACCCGTTTCAAATATTTACAAGAAGAAAAATGGTACATTTTTCTTCCTGAAACTCCATGGCCTTAGCTTATGTTCCATGATAAACATGTACAAACAAAACGAAAAAAAGTTTAGCACACATGCTACTCTACCTCACAAATGGTCTGCGGTTCAATTCTACCCGCATATCCAGACACACACAAACATGCCCAAACACACACAGACACACACAAAGATGTGACATCTCAGCCTACAATGCCTTACAATCAACCCAGACTGGAACCAGAGGAAGCACCAAAAGAGGGTTTTCCTTTAAGAGTTAAGCAAGGCACAAGTGATAAGCATGATTTAATCACACCCAAGTCTTGAGTACAGTGGATTTAAAACCAATTTTAACATTATGACATAAACAATAGTCAAATATCCATGGTTAATTGTGTTCAAGTAGGGACTCATTTAAATAATTAAACATTTGTTATCTCAATAGTTTGAAATCGAGATAATCGCAATATGCTGTAAAGAAATGCTTTGTTAAATAATTTTTTATATTTGAATTGTTTTTAAAACCCCAAATATGTCCCAGGTCAATTTGACCTGAGAGATACCAGAGGTCCCAAATGTGAATGCCATACAGGGGTTAAAGTTTATCATGTGTTACTCCTTTACATACCTTCTTAATACTAATAATTACTGGTTTATTTGCAACCAACTAGCTTTGTAACCAACTAGTTAAGAAAAAGCGATTAGATGCTTCTGCTCTTCAGGATCTTGTATTTTAAATAATAACCTAATGCTATATTATGCTGTTCTTCATATGTATGAAAGACATGCATTAATGAGGACACATCCACAAACTGTGTGCATAAATTCAAGCAACCAGCACGTGTTTTTGACATCACTGGCTTCTTTTGTGATTATCTTTCACTATTACTCCTGCGCGATTCCTTTCTCTGTTTCCATTCTCTTTAAATCTTATCCACCTCATTTCTAATCTGGTCGGTTTTCTATGCAGCTCAAATAAAATGAATGGATTACACCATCCAATACCTTTGATTCTCGCTGATGTAAAGAAAATACTTAAAAAGACACTCACAGACAACAGGCTAAAATGTCAGTGTATGATTTTGAAAACTTACAAATCATTTTGATATAAGTTACTTGTTCCTGAAGCATAATAACAGCCTTTTAGCCAGCTTATGTGGGTCAGGCAAACACTTGACAGGCAGGGTTCATTTAGGTCCACTGCTCTGGATCCAGATCTTTTTTCTGACTCTGAATATTGCCCGTCTCTGTTTCTTGCCGTGTGAGTGTCAGCAGATGGCCGGGATCAGTTTGTTAAAGAATTCTGACACAAACAATCTGTGCTCGTGGCAGAGTGATGGAACACGTTGTCGCTCAAGCTGCCTGTACACGTCAAACCCTGTGAATAATCATTTGATCTTTCTGCAAAATAATATCACTTTATCACTTTTGTTTGAAGTATTTTTTACGCGGTAGAGAAATAGGATAAGGGAATAAATCAACAGGAGATGAGGTCATTGTTGGATTTCTCCCCAATCAAGATTTTTTTTAGCAAGCAGCTTTCATTAGTCATCCTGATTATTCAAATGGAATTATTAATATTATCAATTTCTCTCTAACGTATGACTGTCTATGTCGAGGTCATTCCGTGATTTATTGTCCATTTTGTTTGTACCACTCATCTCTTTGAGGTAGAAAACCCCGTCTCTCTCTGGTGAGTCCTCAGACGAGCGCTGGTGAGCTGACGTCTTGTCTCAAGGTCTTGTGGAACCGTGACGTGAGTTCTGGAAAGTCAACAAATTCCTTCTCCTTTATTGAAACGTTAAGAGTATTTTCCATTCGTGAAGCTCTGCCCCCACCTCCTGTGGCAGTGTGAGCCATGACTTGGCTATAAGACGACTGAAATAACAGTTTCAAGTTTATTAACCTTCTTTTTATTCACATTCACAAATCACAACAACTGGAATATCTAGGCCAGGGGTCACCAACCTTTTTGAAACGGAGGGCTACTTCATGGGTATT